ACGGCGGGACAAGGACCGACGATGGATTTTGGACCAAGTCTCACTGACCAAAAGACGACGTCGGACCAGGCCTCCCTGACTGAAAGACGGAGTCAGACTAGTTCTCCCCAACCAAAACTCGACGAAGGACCCGGTCTTCCCGATCGAAAACCGAAGAAGGACAATCATGTGATGGCTGATTGTTATATGTTAAAGAGGAAGAACTCCTTTAAGGTGCCAGGGGGATCATCTGGTTTACAAGCCAAATACAGGGAAGTGAAGGAGGTGGTATTTTACCTAAGCCAGAAACAAAACATGCATCTGAGGCAGGAGATGGATTTACCAACATAAGGTTATCCACTGATTATCTTAGCAGACTTCAAAGGCTTGTCAATCAATTCAGACCTCGCCATATCCTACCTCCCCAGTCTCTTCTAGCTCACCATCAATGTAATTGTAGCCCCAGCAGAATCATCCAATGGTTAACTATGTTAGCAGACATCTCTCAGTCAATCCCAACTTTGTAGGTAAATATACAAATGCAAGAGTTAAAGAGTATAATAGTTTAGTACTTTAGTAGACTCTGCTGTGACAAAGTGCCACGTGGGGTTGAGATTCCTGGGTTATAAAAAAAAGAGTATAATATAATACGGGCTAAACCTAAACCTAAAAACTATTAGCAGCTGATTTACAGGTTTGAGAGGAAACCATCGAACTCAATGATTTGCAGCAGAAGACAAAAAAGAGCTAACAACTCATGCCGTGTTTTCTACATCACCATTACCATAATTGACATTCTCCCCCAGAACCCGGTTTGTAATATCCGGATCCAGGATAGCATAACCCTTAGAACCAAACACGGGAACCAAACAAAATAAGAAAGAAAATTGCTGGAAAAGAAAAAAAATGTTGTTTTTTATTTCTGAGTGATATCAAGAAAGAAAAATAGTTGTACAAACAAAACTACCCAGGAACCCCATACAAATGACACCGTAGTGAACCCACCCAAAAAAGTCGAAAGACTCTAACTCTATGAGAGATAATAGCAGTGCTTTAGACGCCAGTCCACTCTATGGGCAGCACTGTTGGCGGCTCTAGGAACCTCCCTAAACTATATACAAACTGATAAAGAGTTTAGGATCTGACGACCCTCTAGGAGCACCGGTCCTTCAACGGAATCTTCTAGGAAACCTTACCGAATTGCTAGGAGCTCTGCCGGGTAGAGGTTGACTACTCCCTAGTGACGCATATTGGCTGGTAGCACCACATGCTCGTCTGACCCACGGATAACAAGACCAGACGAGCACTATGAGTCACGAATAGCTGTATCGAAATTGATCTTCAACAAGTCTTCTGGTGGAGGCTCGCAAGAGGGGGATTTGGGAAGAGCAATCTGGGGGCGAAGGAGAGGGTGAAAATTGGAGACTTCTAGGACCTGGTTGTAGAATTGTTTGGCGAGTAACGGACATTAGGTTGGTAGAATTCAAAAGTCACTTTATTTATAGACTTCCAGATTCTCCAAAGTAAACAGACGTATTGGAAAATATGGAATGGGGAGATCTCAGAGATCATAAGATGTCGCCATCATAGACTAAAATTAACTATCAGGGCGGAATCATTGAAGTTGCTCAATCCCACTAAGTCCACAACTTGGTGGCTTGGGGGCATATGAAGAAAGTGTTCAATGCTCTCTTCAAAACTTAGGTTAGAAGCATGTAATTAAGATATTCTCCGTTAAACCAATTTGGAAGACCAAAAATCTACCGCACATCAAAAGCCCATTTAAATTTTAAAGTAAAAGATCACACTTGCGTGTGTCTCCTTGGTTAGCCAAACCCATTAACTGCCAATAAAGGACACATTGAAGGCCTATAATTGCCTTTGACGGAACATGTCATTCTTGAGCAAAACTCAATCCCCGTTAGAGCGCCGGTATGAATAGAGAACTATTGAGCTGACCCATATGAATAGGAAATTATTTCCCTTATAACATCAAATAAATGATGATTTAAAAGCCATAATGAAGCTTAATGACTCATGTCGTAAAGTCTGTCCGAAACAGACGAATACCTCCAATATATAGAGTTTTAATTTTCACTGGAGGGGCATTGAATGCAGGATCGGCCGGACAAAGCCAGTCGCCGGAGATTCCTCTGCCGTCTCTTGGAGCAATGGCAATTGCCGCTGGTGGTGGTGGAGCCGGAGAATATGTCGGACAGATCTTCGGAGTGATGTGACACCTCTTCTTGCGATGGAACTTCTTCTGGCATTGAATCAGAGAAACGAGCTTGTACAAGGCAGCGATGGTCATCTTCCCACTGTTCTTCTTCATATTGCTAGCTCGCGAATTCCAGTCGTGCTCAACGACGGGGGCCTGGCTCAGAATCAGCTACTGGGCCGCCGACAAGAGCGCTGACTTCCATGTTTCCGAAATCGACTATTCTCGCTTCACTCACTTTGTCAGCCGCTCCGCCGCCATCACTTTCTCCTCATATGAGCTATTCATCCTGCCGGAGGAGGCGCAATTCGTGTACAACTTCACGGCGATGGTCAAGCTAAAGGACCCATCCATCTCGACGTTGTTGTCAATCTGCTGCGACGCTACTGACTTCACGGACGGTGGGGGATCCCTCTCGTCGGAAGTCCCTCATCGATTCCTCGATCGATTTCGCCAGGACCCATATGTCAATCAGAATTCAATCACAAGAAAAAATCAATTAAGAAACTTGGAAAAAAGAGGGAGCCCAGTTCTCTGTCCTTTCTGTCTTGCTGACAGATTTTGTGATTTGTGAAGTTGTGTTTGCCATTCTTTTTTGGGTTAATACCCTAGTTTGGCCCGAAGTTTAGCGTGAGTGACAGTTATGACCCCATTTTTCAAATAAGACATTTACGGCCTATTTTTGAAATTATTTGACAGATTTGGCCCGAAACTTGTGTTGACCGTTAATACTAACGGTCAAACACTTATACCGTTAGTGACTAGCAAAAAAAACTGTAAATTTGTTTATACATGGTGCTTCGTCATTAAATAATAATAATTTATTATTTTGTCCCCCAATTAATAATGAAAAATTAAAAAAATCCCAAAATCCCCAAAGATGGATCGGCTCCACTTCCTCCTCTCTGTTTGGGGTCTAAATCCACTTCCTCCCTTCTTCTCGAATTCAAAAAAATCTCCATTGTTCTCCATCTCCAGTCCCTCCGCTACATCACCAGGAGGATGAGATGTGCTCCGCCTAGAATAAAATCGAAGCTCCAGACTCCAATTGGAGTAAACACTCGATCCTCCCCTGCCACCCCGACGGCGGTACCGACCCACAAAGTCACCGTCCATGAACGGATCCAGCTTCTCCACAACGATCCCTCTCTCCCCGCCGCCGCTTCCTCCACCCGCCGCCGTCGAAAACAAAGCGAAACTATTCTCAGCAGTCGTCGTTGATGTACCACCCCTTGGGAACCCTACCTCTTCCGACGAAATTTCTATCTCCACGGCAGCTTCTGCCGCAAACGCCGTCGCCGAACTAACCCTCGCCGTAAAAATTTGATGCTCGCCGGCCGCAATGGTGTCACCGTCGGGGTCGATGTGGACACCCACAGCCGCCGCAACCTCCGATCGAAAACATCCAAGCTACATCGTCAGGATTGAAAGAATCCCAATCTAATTACCGGAAGACAAAAAAAAATCCAGATCTGGTGGTGACGCACGTTCCCCTGACAAGCTTCCTTCTCGAGATTCCCTCTGATCCGCCATGGCCAGTACTGGTTCTTGCTTCGGTTGCTTCGCCGGTGGAGAGAAGAAGGGTGGTTAAGAGTCTCTTCGTACTCAGTCTGCCTGGTTGGGGGGGGGGGGGGCGTTGGGATCGGCGGGAGGAAGAGATGAGAGTTAGAGGTTTGGGGATTTTGGTTTATTTATTTATTTTTTATTATTAATTGGGGAAAAAATTAAAAAATATTATTATTTAATGACGTGGCACCTTGCATAAGCCACATCAGCAGTTTTTTGCTAAGTCACTAACGGAATAAGTGTTTGACCGTTAGTATTAACGGTCAACACAAGTTTCGGGCCAAATCTGTCAAATAATTTCAAAAGTAGGCCGTAAATGTCTTATTTGAAAAATGGGGCCATAACTGTCACTCCCGTTAAAATTCGGGCCAAACTAGGGTATTAACCCTTCTTTTTTCAGTTGTGTTTGTTGATAACTCTATATGGTGTTGGATTAAAGAAAAATCTGAAAATTCCATCATCATCAACTTCGAAAATGAAGAGAATTCAAAGCTAGACTGTTAGGCCAACAACATTACAATGACCTCATATCCAGCTAACGATCAAATTATTGAACCTGAAAAATGGATACAATTCGAGAACCGATAAATCATACGGCATACAGGTAATGAAGTACCTAGTTATGTCTTGCCAAAAAGAACACAGTGTGTTCGTTGAAGGAAGTATTACAGAATAAGCAAGACATTGTCAACCTGTGTTTGCAAATGCCTAACATATCCACCTCGATTTCTATATAAAGATAAGTTGTTTGGCTGTCTCTATGCACTCTCATATGCACAACTGGAGGGGGGGAACTGTCCGGTAGTCGATGACCCCTATCTGTTTTGTGGTTCAAGGAGATAGTGAAGCACATTCATCTTTCTGCTCTAAATTAAGATAATTTAAACCCTGAATAAGGAGGCATCCAAATCAGTATCATCAATCGGTTCCCGTTGGCTCTCTACTAAACTAAAGCAACGCGTACTCTAATGAGGTACGCATCGAGTTCTCGACCAATACGACGACTCTCATTGCAATGCCTCTGCTGGAAAATCACATGTATCATTCCCTTCTCACTTAATGACTGCAATTCACTAGTCAATTGTTCTGGTTCGTATGAGGGGAAAAATTGGAAGCACAGAGATTCAATTGAACTGCTGTCAAAAACTAGAACGAAGTAAACGATACATGGAATAGAATTCAAGAGTAAAAAGTTGCTTACAGATAATCAACAAGCAAATGATTTGGGAGAGATTTATCAAACTCCTGGGTTCGCACTGCAGAGCATACCCTGAGACAGCGACCGCGAGCTGGTGGAATCGATGCCGACACGGCGGAGTGAAGCGGGAGAAGCGATTGAAGAGCACCCAGCTGAGCAATTGGCCTTGAGAATGTGGAAGAAAGGCGAGCTGGGAAAAGAGAAGCGGCCGAGGTGGGCGTGGGTTTGACGCCGGCGGGCTTTTTGACCGCGTGTTTGAAGAGAGACACCGTTTTGAAAGAGCTCTGTAACGAGTCGCCATTGATGCCCGAAGGTGAAGACCCGGTAAAGGAGTAAAGTTGGCGACTTTATTAGGGTTTATGCAGGAATTGGAAATGGCGACGGCGAGGGAACGGCCTTCTATCATCGTCCCCGGTATGATACATATACAAAACAACAAGAAGGGATTCGATCGCCGGCGGAGCAGATTCGGCCGATCGGGAAATGGATTCAATCGGAGTCAGATTCGAGATCGGAGACGTAATTGGCCGGATTAGGGTTGTAGCAGAGATAGGTCCAGAGGGAGAGCGCGAGGCGGCCGAATTGCTGCATCGGTTCGCAGAAGATGAGGTGGAGGACTTGGTCGCTGGGGAGGCGTTCCGGGTTGCAGGCGATGTATTGGCAGAGATTCGCCGACACGTCAGCCACCGTCACCACCAGATTGCTGTTCAGAACCATGACGCCGCCCCCCAGCCCAGCCTTTCTCCTTTCTCCTTCCTTTTCCTTTCCTCCTTCCCTGTTGGCCTCTTCTTCCTCGATGGCCCTTCTTTCCCTTTCGGTACTTTTTCTTTTGTGAAAAAGAAGAAAATCTTAAGAGCTTGTTTATTTGTTGAGAAATGGTAAAAACTAAAACGAAAGCCGTCGTCCAAAAATCGGCAAACTACGTCGTCTTATTGAAGTCAAATAAAAATAATAAATGAATTCAGCTAATGGGCATAAAGAAATTAATTAAAAATATGCGTGTACTATGATTGAGAGTTGAGTCAAGGTTTGCGGTTCACCACATTGTCAACTCTTACGTAATTAGGTCGACCATAAAGTCGTGCAGGTTAACTATATGGCTAATCAGGTAGACCACTTCTGCTTCTGTAAAAATATTAATAATTAGTTTGATAGAGTTCTATCAAATCTCTGAATCGATAATTTGGGTTAAGCCGTTGAAGATTTCAAAATCGAGAAGGATGGACATAATATTAAGGGTAAATACAATTTAATAGCCAAACCTTTTGGGTTTAAACAAAATAATAGCCAAACCTTTTTTAAAACAATTTAATAGCCAAACCGTTAACTTTCCATCCGGTCAAACATTAGTTGACTATGATGTGGCAAAATTTTTTACTGAGGTGGAATGAATTTGATGATGTGACACAAAATCAAACATTTGACTGTGCCACATGGATAATTATAATTTTAACTAATTCTTATATTCTTATGAAAAAGTTCAAAAAAGATTATCTTGTATCTTCTTTCCCTCCCTCCCTTCTCTCTCACTCCAGATGCTCCTCCTCCGCAGCGGAAGACAACCACCTCTTCGACTTGAGAGGATTGACGGCGACGAGGGTTTCGGGTGGAGTCCGCTGATGACAACCTCCGACGACCTCCAAAGATGGGTTCATCTGCATTTCTGGGGCGGATTGAGGTGTTGATGGGTTCTTCTTAGGCGGGTCAATTTTTCTGGTTTATGGGTTCTTCTACAAAAAATCACTGGACAAATCCAGGCATTGCTGGGTTCTTCCATAGCTTGACCGAGTCAAAGGCCCGATGGAGGCGTTGCGGTTCTCTCTCAAGTCTCAACTACAGATCTGGAAACTCAAATTCTCCATCGCTCGATCCACTATTGGAGCAGCTCCACCGCAGCGGGTGATGATGATTGAGAAGCGATTGTAGAAGAAGAGATGGATGGGGAATCAGATGGGGAAGCTGCGGCGGTGGGAGTGGAGCCTATGGTTGTGAAAACAATTGGGGATTTTGCTTTGGAGTCGAAGGAGGAGTAGATAACTTTTGGGTGGAACTGCCGACCAACATCAGCAAGATACTCTGTTGCAGGTTGTGAACGATGACACTCCTTGTTGCTGATCGGAGAGATTCGCCTTACCTTCGTGGCTCCTTCAGTTTCCTCCTCCTTCGCCATTTTCCCGACCATCTCAGCACCGAACTCGTTAATCCCCAGCGAGATTTGTGGCCTCCCTCATAGGCTTCCCTCCTCAACCGATTGACTTCTTCTTGATTTCCATATCACTAGCTACCACCTAAAGCAACGCAGATCTAGATTTTCATATTAGTAGCCCGGATTCCGCCTCTGCTCCCCTGAAATCGACGACAAAGACATAGGGGAAGAGAAATTCAAGGGTTCTTGCCAAGAACATCAAGTAGAGGTCCAGAAGGAGGTAAAACTTGGAGGACTGGATTGGGCTTTGATTTAGAGCAGAGAGTGATAGGTGAGGGAATCAGAAAGGAGGGGCTTTGATTTGGATTTTGGAGCAGAGAGAGGTGTGAGAATCGGAAAGGAGGAGGGGGTTTGATTTGGAGGAGAAAAAGAGAGGGAGAGGTGTGGGAATCGGAAAGGAGAAGGAGGGACTTTGATTTGGAGCAAAGATCCGCAGTGGGAGATTTGGAGTAGAGAAAGAGGAGTGTTTATTCATTTTTCAGATTTTTTTTTAAAGAACTAATATCCATATGGCAGTCAAGAGTTTGACTTTTTGCCACGTCATCAAAATCCATCCATCTCATTTAATTTTTTGCCACATAAGAGTCAACTAACGGTCAACTGGATGGAAAGTTAACGATTTGGCTATTATTTTGTTTTTGAAAAGGTTTGGCTATTATTTTGTTTAAAACGAAAGGTTTGGCTAATAAATTGTATTTACCCAAATATTAAAGACATTGAAGAATCATGAATATAAAATTAAAACTAAAAGATTGAGTTCTTAGAACTTAAAGAGCACAAAGTGGTTACTCATTCATTAGTTTCATCGACTATCTATCAAAGAGTATCATTCCAAACTCGCAAATCATATAACCTTTATCTCTTAAACTCTAAATCCCCTATCCTGAATAGAAAAATCATAAACCATAAACCTTTAATACCCAAAATCCTAACCATTGAACTAAACTTAACATGAACCCCCCTAAAAACTGATACCCTAAACTTTGAATCACTAAAATCTAGAATAACCTCTTAACTTGTTAAACCCTGAGCACTAATATAAAACATTTTGAACTATAAAATCTACCACTAAAATCTAGGGGGAGGTAATCAACCGGGCCGCTTACCGGTTCAACAGGTTTTTCGGTTATCGGTATAAAATCCACTACACAGCCTCTGAGGACCCCTAACGGTTGGCAGTCGGTAAATCGACTAACCGGTTAGCAATTAGTAAACCAGTTACACGTTTAGAACTCCTTCTTCCACCTTTCTCAATCCTTGTAGTTTTGTTTCTCCGCCCCAGAACTCCTTCTTCCACCTTTCTATCCCAAAACCTTATGATGACGAGAGGGCTCTCGCTCAGCCTGTCCGACGAAGAAGATTACGACAACTGCTTTTCCCCCTCCTCCGCCGACAATGGTGAGCGACAGCTGGGTAAGGTGGGGGTTGAAGCTGATAAGAGAGAGCTGACTGTGCGAGAGAGGCAAGGTTTTTGGAGAGGCATAGCATGGATTGGGATTCAGTGGTGGCCGATGGGGCTTCCACCTACGGCGAGCAGTGGCGCCCCCTCTCTTTTGGAGTGTGGTGGGCGGACTGGTGAGTGGTAGTCGCGGCCTCACAACAGAGAAGAGAAGACGGAGGCGTGAAATTAGCATCAGGGTTGTTATCTTTAGTCTGTTGTTTTGTTCAATATGGCGGTTACCAGCAAACCGAATAACCGACGATAATTAATAAGGGGACATGCCATATACCGATTATTAATTGATCGCTACCCGCTTACCGTAACCGCCGGTCACGAGTTCGATAACTGGTTACACCGTCAATCGAATTACCAACTACCACCTCTACTAAAAGCTGAAGTATCACCTTTACATTATTCCTCTACTTTTTTCCTTGGCTGCTTTTTACTTTTCCTAATGGAATTCTAACCTTTTATACTCCTTTTTTTTACATAATTCTTTCATTTTTCCTAGACGCTTCAATATGGGCAACATTAAGTCTATGTTTGGCCCGATTTTTAGAAGTGATTTTCACTCTCAAAAGGTGAAGTATCACCAAACACCTCTAAAAGCTCGGCTTTTAAAAAGCTGAAAAGTGCTTTTGTATAACATAAAAGTAGAAGCTTCGATTTGGAGCTCCTGCGATAAGTTTTTTTGAAAATACAAGATTATCCTTACTATAATTAATTTAAAATATAAAATACAAGATTATATTATTTGATATAAAAGAAATCTAACAAGATCCATTTTGATCTCTTCAACCAAACACTCAACTGTTTTTTTTTCAAGTACTTCTCTGCTCCAGCTAGAATCTGCTTATGCAAAAGTTACAACAGGGCCAAACTAGCCCTAGCTAAGTCATATGTTCGGATGCTCTACCTCATCTAGTGGCGGACCCATAAATTTTACATAGTGGTGCCATCTTTTAAAAAATAAATAATTAATAAAAAATAAACAATTCTTAAATAAGAAAATTCATGACTCATACAAGTTAAAAAAAGTTCATGATGTGTTTTCAGAAATAATTGTAAAATACACTTGGTGTCTACAATGCTCAATAAAATTGTCTCTTATATCCTACTAGACAATCATTCATGAATTGATCGCATATTCAATTTCTAAACTTGTTCTTGATGTAACCCAAAGTTAAAAAAGACTCTTTCAACAATTGTCGTACAACCAAAAAATCAATGCAAATTAAGAGTAGGTTGAAATTAGTTTAATTGTTAGGTATTGAAAACAATTAGAGATAGGGAATGACATTTTACTATTACACAGTGTTTAAAATCAAACAATAAATGAGTTGTATCCTAATGAAAACTATATTTATTAATAATAATAGTGTCCTAGGTTTGAACTATCCAAAATACCCTTATATTCTCATACGCAAACTAGAAAATGAGAGTAGGATAATCATTTTTCAAATTTCAAGGGTTTCATTTCATCCACTATTAATTATAAATTTTTTTACCATACATAAATTTATCACCGAAGATTGGATAATCGTTTTTCTAAAAATCTAGGGGTGTCCCGGGGCACCCCAAAAGTGACCTGGGTCCGCCCCTGACCTCATCACAGTGCAAACTTTATAACCAATTCTCAAGCTATTAGATACATATAATGGTTGAGGTTTAGATAATTTTTTAACGCCCTACTGTATCAACCAATTGTTAAGGTTAATCTTGAACACCGGTCATTCATGTTCGTACAACACACTCCACGATCCCCTTCCAAAACAAGTTGATATGCTTGTGGTTTGTGGTTTGCATGTAGATCGAATCGGCCATTGGAGCTGGGCCTAACTATCTTCGCGACAATCCATTTGCGTACATCTTGTTGACCAGCCAAACCAAGCAGTTTTCCTTTAAGAAGCAAAGCAACTGCGGAAGGAAAGGTGATGGATTGATGATGTCGACAAAGTTTATTATGACAAAGACGACTAATTTAAGCCCAAGGAATCTTGTAGTTTCTTGGAATTCGTCACCTTTGACATCAAAATCGAAAATTCAACACTCTCTGATTCTTCACTGATGAAAATGGTCGATAAGAAGATTCACTCGAGAATCTTTAAGCGCAAATGAAAGTTGCCAGCTAGCTTGACTAGCAATTCATAAGGCATGCTTATTAGGAATGGGATTCCATAGAATGCGAACTCATCGAGAAGGTGTAGTTGTACGTTATTCACTCGGCATGTGACGGATCTTGACAGAGGTGTGGCCGTAAGATGGCTCCTTACCACCAGTGATTTCCTAGTATTTCTTACTCCTATTGCTAATAACAGAGTTTGATCTTGCTTTGTAGGATTGCTCTGTCACCTCCAATGAGATTTGTGATCCTGTTGATTCATTCTATTTGTAATTTTTTAATGCAACAGTCTTCTCTTGATTTGATTTGAGAGATTCTTCTTTTGACCTTTCTTTGATTTACGAGATCCTCTGATCATACTTTAGAGCTATGACAAGTAATATAAATTAGAGAGATTTAACTAAGGTTGTTACCTTTTGATAGGTGAGAGCAGAAAGGGAAAGCCTTTCTTTTCCCCAACAATCTCTCATGCTTTTCTTTTTGCAACAATTAATTTCTCAAGGGGTACCAACCATCATAAGAAATGCTAAAAATCAAGATCAAATTCAATGCAGGAAAACAAAGGAAGAACATATCATTATAACAAAAGAAACACATCAAAAGAAGAATATATCAAAGTCAATAACAAAACAAAAACACAACATAAGAGACCTAATATGTACTTGGTCATAATCTACGTTGGAGCTTGTTCGTATTCCTCCTCAGCACAACATGCTTCCTCCTTAACATGTCAACATGTCCCGAAGGTAGCCTCATCCTCATTCTCCCCTTGATGGTTGGGATCTCTAAGATTGCAGTAGGTGTTTGTGATGGCAAAAATCTTGGGAATAAAATAAGAAATAGACTTAAGCACAACATAGTATATATTGATATCGCACCCAATAGTGGTACGAAATTGGGTGATAAAGGTGGCATATGCAAGAGTAGTGTCCCATAAGCCCTCGCGTGGAGCAAACTTGGTCATGTGGAGACATATTAGTGAGGCAACATTAACCTTTCTTCCTCAAACAACATTGACCAGATTGAAGAGATCAATGTGTTCAATGGTGAAGAGATGAGCAGTGCATGGAAGTAAGAACCTGGTGATGAGCCAATGGAGTACTTTAAGATGGCCAGGGAGAACAATATGTCAATGACCCTCTGAGTTAACAGTTGAAGCTCATTCTCATAGTCAAAGTCATAGAGTTGAAGCTCAGACGTGTACCGCAGAGTAAGGCCCAGAGATGGAAGATTGAGATGGTAACAAGTCGTTGGAGTTTGAAAGTGACATGGCACCCTAGAAATGTAACGTGGGTCGAGAGGGACAAGAGGAACCGGACCTCGTCGGAGAAGATTATGGTAGAACTACCGAAAACCCAGGGGACAAAAGGCTGAAGAATGAGGTACTCGGAGGATGAAGAGTCCTTCCCAACCAAGATTAGCGATGAGAAAGGAAACCTCATCTAGAAAGGATGATAAGGGAGGAAGCCCATACTCACTGATAATGGGAAGCATGTTGGAGAAGGAGTGGTAATAACCTTGAATGATGACTGAATTACTGTCATTATTGGAATAAGTAAGAATAACATCTGAGCCAAACATTGTCAAAGAAAGAAGTAGATGAAAGGGAAACGAAAGTGGTGATGCTTAGGAGATAAGAAGAGAAAAAACAAGTAGAAGGTATTCGTGGAGAGAAAAAACTGGACAAAAACTCTCTCTATGGAACCCCTATTTTGGAATAAAGGTTTTGTGGAGAGAAGAGTAGTACCGTAAATCATTCCTACTTCTCAGAGAATAAAAGCAAATGATAACAACCTAGAGGTTTACTTAAAATATCATAGGAATATTAGAAATAGAAACAATCCCCTTAAAATAAATATCGAAGGAAATGATATTTGATCTCAATATGCTTGATTCTAGAGTGTTGCACCGGATGTTTGCTCATACTTATGACACTTGAGTTATCATAGAGAATTGGCAGATTAGAGATAATGAGTCTATAATCCTGTAATATATTCAGTTTCAATGGTGGACAAGGTAACACGTGCCTGCTTCTTTTAAGACCTATAGACAAGTGGCTCTCATGGGAATTGACAGCATTCAGAGATATTTTTCCATCATTTTGCTGCCAATGAAGTCAAAATCTATGTATCCTATAAGTTTTAGGGAATTGGATGAAGGATGCCAAATTTCTAAGGTAGGGGTATGAGCAAGATAACGAAGAGTTTTTTTGTTGTTGCTATCAGATGGGATTGCTTGGGATTGGCTTGAACCTAGCACATAGACACACATTGAACATGATGTCTGGTCTTCTGGTTGTTAGATAAAGCAAAGATACAATGAGACCCCGATAGAGAGTGTCACGAGCAGGTGTACCGAGTTCATTATGATCTAGATGAAGAGAGGTGTCAATGTGAATTTCTTAGTGTTTGGCTGAGGACATTTTATACTTTGCTAGCACGAAATTGACGTACTTGCTTTGATGTATCAAAAGTTTGGCTGGATTTTGATGGATTTTGAGACCTAGAAGAAAGTTAGTTCTCCCATCAATACTCATTTCAAAGGTACTCTGCATGATATCACATAATTCAGTGTAGATGTTTTGTGATGTGGCCCTAAAATCTATGTCATCCACGTATGTTTGAACAATAAGGAGACCTAACGAATAATGCGTAAGGAAGAGAGTTGTATCTATAGAGCCTCTAGTGAAGTTATGTTATAATGAAAGGTACTTAATCTATTATACCAGGGCCCGAGAGCTTGTTTTAGTCCATACATAGACTTTTTAAGTTCGTAAACATGAGCAGGACCAAAATAATTTTCAAAATCAGGAGGTTGTTCTACATAAACATCTTCATTTAGAAAGCCATTTAGAAATTCAATTTTGACATCCATTTTATATAGCTTGATTTTGTTTGTTCTAGCAAATGCATAGGGCAATCTAATTGCTTATATCCTGGCTATTGGTGCAAAGGTTTCTTCAAATTCTAGTAATTCTTCTTGATCATAGCCCTTAGCACCTAGACGAGTTTTGTTCCCAGTGATGTTGCCCAGTTCATCATGTTTGTTTCTAAAGACCCACTAAGATCCAATAACTTGCCATTATGCAAGTATAACAGTGTTGTCAAAATCGAACCGGACATAAATCCGGATTAACTAGAGGTTTAAAGTTTATCGGATGACCGGTAATTAACCGGTATTAAAAACCATTAATAAACCGGTGCTTAAAAATGAAAAAATAGAGTAAGAATTAGAAAAAGTCAAATTGAAAAGGCAGAAAGTAGGTAGCAGAGAGAGTAGGGCAGGATGTTACTTCTCGTTTTTTCCGATGCATTTGATTCTTTTTGTTAATTATTAAATTCAAAGAAAGCAAAATGTAAGCGGCCATTATTTATTTTCCAAGCCCGCCGTTTTTATGCTTCCGGGGCTGGATTCGTGCCCGGTGCGGTTTTATCCGGTCTGACTGACCGGTCCGGTTTTAATAACACAGAGTTTGAGGTACAAGATCCCAAACCTGAGCTCGTTCGAATTGATCGAGATCATTTTACATAGCTATATTATAATATTCATCTACTAGAGCTTGTCCAGTGTTTTTAAGTTCTATTTGGGACAAAAAAGGCATAATGGACATAGATAAGAGCAAGAAGATTTTTGTTTTGTTTTAGATCAAGTAACTAGTGGGACACCAGTAGCATTTTATTTTATTCTCTCTCTACCTTTCCCAATTGAAATTTGCTCTGCCTTCTCTCCTCTTCCAGCTCTCCTTTTCTCATAACGGGGGCTGCCGCCGGCTCCTTTTAGGTGACTGGCGGTAGCCCAAAACTATTTATTTTTCTGCTTTGTTTCCTTTCCTTGCTTTAGTGCTCGTGCCAGTGTCTTAGGCAGTTTTCAATCGGATTTCCAGCCGTTCTGCCTTTCAGTTTTCTCCTTTCCAGTCGAGCTATGGCTCTTCTTTCAGATCTTGGTTCTATGTTCTTGGGCTTGCTCGTCGTAGGAGCTGGAGTCTGCAACTTGGGAGCCTCTTCCAGATCTGGATGGTGGGTTTGTCCCCCCGTTGGTGGCCTCATCTTCAAGGTGAAGCCATTCCCTTCTTTCCCTCTCCGACCTCCCTAGGTTATGAGTGGCTTGGTGAGCTGTCGGATGGTGGTGAGTTGGGTCTTCTCCGGTGGTTGCGGTTGGGATTCGGTGTTTTCGTGGAGGTTTGTGGCTACCTTCGGAGCTTTTGCTCTTCTTCGAACCTGATCTCTCTGCCTCGGCCTCCTCTACCTCTTCAGCTTGGAGCAATCTGGTTATATCCTTTTCCACTGCCATGCAGTCTAGTTTCTAGATTCACTGTGATGGATGCCCTCGAGTTTTCCCCAGGAGGCGGCACATGGGGTGATGATTTTCAACTACCATGGATTTCGATATGATCGGACAAGCTGATTGTGGTTTTGTTGCACTTTGATTGGTTGTTTGCAATGAAGTTTCTTGATGATCTGTTTTCGGTCAAGGGTTTTGCTCTTTCCGGGTGGTTGCTTGCAGACTGTGTTGTGTTCTTTGTTGCTGCATTTTGTCTTACACAACTCTGTTTGTAACCGGATGCCTTTGGGCTTCCTCTCGTTGGAACCAGATTGTTGGTTCGTTCTTTCTTTGTAACTGATCAATTTGAAGTGCAATAAAATCCCCCTTTGTCAAAAACTATTGGGACATCAGGATCACGTTTGATTAGGGAAGGTGAGTGCCTTATCAGTTGGAGTTGATGGTTCTAGGTTTTGGGAGGTGGATGCTATTATTGTGGAAAGAGGTTGTATTGCAAAGGAGTCCTTCTTAATTTGATGTGAACTTTTATCAAATTTTATATGAATAGATTCCTCAATTTTTTTTGGTTTTTCTATTCAAGACCCTATAAGTTTTGCTTCTGGTAGAATATCCTAAAAAAGTGGTCGGATTCTGATTTGAGTTCAAACTTTCCTAGTTGACCTTTTGTGTTTAAGATGTAGAAAGGACTTCCAAAGGGATGACGGTAACTCGGATTTGGTTTCTTCACATTCCAAAGTTCATAGGGAGTGTTTTTTTAGCTTACTTCTAATAAGTACTCTATTGGTTATGTAGTTGGCAGTATTGACTGCTTCTGCCCTCAGTTTTTGAGGTATTTTATATCCTTGGATCATGTTTCTTCCTATTTCTTCTAGATTCTATTCTTCCTTTCAACCACCCAATTTTGTACGGTGTTTTTGTGAGTTGAGAAGATATGTTCTCTTCCCAAATTGTCACAGAATGATTCAAACGGATGACTATCGAAATCTCCTCCATAATCACTCATAATTCTTACTACTGATAATTCTTTTTTATATGTATTTTAGTGATAAATGTTTTGAATTCAGTGATAGTTTCATCTTTGTGTCTTAAGAAACATACACATGTATACCGAGAAGTCGTCTACCAGAATGAAAGCATAATATTTTTCTCTTAAACTCTTGGTTTGGAGCTATGAGATGGCTTGACAGTATGGCTAGTGAGCCACCTGGAATATTGACTTATGAGTAGAGGTGACAATTTATGATCCATATCCACGAATCCAATAAAATCCATCCACCAAATTATCCACCCAATCCTATCCATTGATTCAAATCCAATTGGATTGCAAAGTTTGATTTCTTACCTATACTTTTTATAATTTATTTCGTACCTAATATTTATTTTTTTATCAAAATATAATTGAAAATTTATGTTTTGGTACTTACAATTTTTCATTATGACATTTTGGTACCTAAACTTTTCAAAATTTACATATTGGTCTAGGGCTTGGATGTCATTTGAATTCATGGATCAATCCACCAATCCATGAATCAACCAATCCATTTGATCTATGGATCCACCAATCCATAAATCCAATCCAATTGCCACATCTACTTATGAGTGAATCGATTTATAATTTATGGGTTGCCTAATTGCCTTGTTTGTAGATCATTTATTTGTTAGATTATGCATCTTACTATATATAATGTTTAAGACTTTGAGTATATGTATCATAAATTGTTTAGATACTAATACAATTAAATAAATTGATATGAATGAATAAAATTTGTGAAATGAATATATGATACATGAGCTCTAATCGATCTCACAAGGTGATTGATGAGTCGACCTCGAATAGAGCTCGCGAGATCATTAATGAGTCGAATTCAATCTAAATTTGAGTCAAACATGAGTCAAATTTTATTTGATGAATCAAGTTCAAAATAGAATTGTCTATTGACAAGTTGAGTTCAAATTAGATCTAAACTCAACTCCATTCATTTGCCACTAGGGATGGCAACAAAACCCGAACCCACGGGTACCCACCCGACCCGATTAGGTCAACGCGGGTAATCTGTGTTGATGGGTTTTGGGCCGGGTTTGGGTTTGAACCCGTTCACTATTCGCCGGGTTGGGTTTGGGTTTAGGTAAACCCGACCCATGGGTATCCGCCCACACCCATATAGTTAATTTTCTCGGTATATTTAATATTTTAAACAACTAATCTTATTTATGTTTGTGGAGACATGTCTAATTTTTTCTTTCAAATTGCGTAGAATGAAGTTGATGTTATCGAGTGGAGAGTGAAGAAACTTAATTGAAAGGAAGAAGCTTTCAATTAATCATGTTATTTATGGATAATTTGTGATTTGCTTCAATTTTCTAGATTGGTGTTGAAGAATTTGTATAGTTAATTTGTGATTTGCTTGAATTTTCTAGAATGGTGTTTTATATATGGATAATTTGTATTGAGCGATTGATATTTGACTTTAATTTTGATAGAAACTTGTTATTGTAAATTTTTTACGACAAAAACTTATGGGTACCTATGAACCCACGAATAGGATTTGAGTTTGACAAAACCCGACCCAACCCGATCCATTACCATCCCTATTTGCCACTCTAGTTGTAACCTCTACCAAAGTCTTCTTGTGAGGCGAAAGTAAAAGAACCCGCGGAAAGAAGAAAAGGGAAAAAACTTCAAACGTGTTATATGATATGAAGGCCTAGAGGGTTTGAGTTGAGACTTGAGAATCATCAGTGCCTGGGTGTTTTCGATCCCGAACCCAGCAGCAGTGCAACCCCTCTCTCTCCATGGATGCCGCTTTGCCTACCGGCAACCAGTCGCCGAGCAGCGCGGTCGGTCGTCGCCCCACCTGCAACAAGGCCGTCTCTTACTTCAAGAAAACAGTTCAGTCGACTGATTTCTGCAAAACCCTCCACTCTCCTAGCAAAATTGCTCTTCGTTTTCTGACCGACTCGCCCTGTGTCTTCCTCTTTGGACAGGTGACTTTGCAGGACTGGTGGCTTATCAAAGCCGACCAGGACTACGAGGGAAAGAGGCTCGGAGTTGCAGGATTTCCTCCCAGCGGGTAAACTCCATTTTCGCCTCTTTCTTTCCCCCTTTGGGGTTTCGCCCCAACTCTGTGATTTTGTTTGTTAACTTAAAAGAGGATTCATTAACTGTAGCAGTCAAAGAGGTTTGCGGGAGTTTCGCTCCGCACCGATTATCAAAACCTACGATGTGTTTACCCTGGAGACTGCTGATGGCGTCACTGTGCTCATCCAAGGCTTCCTGAACCGGACTCGCACTGTCCAAAATGGATTCCCTCTTGAGGTGCTAGCCTGCTTTTTCTTTCCTTTCATCGGTTATGGTTATGTATTAGAGTGTGTTGTCACTTTTGAGATTGTTAGGTTTAATGGAGTTGAAATCGTAGCAAGTTCGGTTGATGAACCGTTGGCTGATATAACACAGTTGATGTATATGACTGGAGTTGGGATTGTTTCCCCTTGTACCTGTGGGCACACTAGCTGAGCTTTTACGATTAGCTTTCATAACTTCTCCTTTTGAATGTTCTTTACTTTCCCCTCTCTCCCTCAGGCCACAAATAGTTTCTTGTTGGGCTTTCCTTTTTACTGGGAACATTGTGCCAAAAGGTGGGTTCAAGATGCATATAGCAATGAAGTTCACATGACGAAAACCTCTGCAGATCCAGGTAATTACTAGCTAGTCAGATTGGTCGACCCGGGGAAGGGGGAGGATAGCATCACTAAACCCTGTTTTGATTTTGTTTATCTTCTTGATTTACTGCTATTGCAGATATGCAATCCGCGGCTGCAGAGTCTACTCCAACTGCTGACAAAGATAATTCTAATGTGGAAGTTGTGAAAGATGGTCCATATCCCCCATCCCTGAACTTCGACATCAAGGCCTTGAAAAGGTGTCCATTGCACAGTCCTATAACGAGATCTAGAAGTTCTGCCTGTGAAAAAGTGATCACCAAAAAACATTCCAGCGTGGAAGGCACTTGTGACACTGTGTATCATGATGGTTCGAGTTCTTCCCCTGAAAGAATTATTGACAAGTTAGAAAGCAACAAGAGGAGTAAGAAGAGGTCTGTCCGAAACTTAAACAGCAAGGAACCAGTATTGTCCTTAGGATATTCAACCTTTACCAGCCCTTCTGCTCCCGAAGAAGACTCTGGTTTTGAAAGATCCGATGTGGACCATCTGAATGTGTTTGAATTGAACCAGAAGAAGCCTGCAAAAAGTTATGACAGTCCACGGTACGGATATGCATTAAGGAGTGGGGTTATAAACAGGTCAACAACTTCCTTGCTTCAAGTTCCTGAGCTGACGTCAGGATTTAATGGTGAGAAAGAAAGTGGTGCATCTGCATCTCCAGATGCTGGCAAGTTCAGTCATCCAGAACTTGATTCAAATAATGGTAAGTGTACAGTGATCGAGTCACTAGTGCAATCACGCATAGCGGCTAATTTGGATATTCCATCTGTGGCAGAAAGCATAAGAACGTGTTTGTACCCAAATATTGATGAACCTGTTGACTTGAAGCAACAAGGGAATTCTAGATCTAAAAGACGGAAATCCAGGTCAAAGTTAGCGAGCCCTAAATATCCGAGCAAAAAGAAAGCATCTAGATATGCAGTCAGGCAAAACAAAGAGTTGCCATCAGAGTCAGCGAAGCCTCACCTTGATGAAGAAGGGAAGCGTGGAGCTGTGCATAAAAGAACTATTCCCTTATCAAGCAAAGCGAAAAATTGTAAGTCAGAGGTAGGAGCATCTAGAAGGACAAGAAATTCAACAAGGAAAGAGAGGCATGAAAAGCTTAATGTTAAAGCTGGGGATTCTTCTGGTACAATAAAAGTCAAAAAGAGAATTTTCTTTGAAACTCCGGTAAGTTGCTTACTGGTGGTTTATTTCATCAAGATTCGTCTTTTGAGCAAATAAATTTTTGACTGCGAACTGCTGATAGGCAATAGCTCCTCATTTGCATAGTGTCCTTCTGTTACCTTGACGTGGTTAGTAAGTGTATGCTCTGGTGTACACTATTGGCTTGCCCCTTGTGGGATCTAATCCTACATTGTATTGTCTGTTAGGTTACTCCAAAGACAGTGGAAGGAAAATCAAGGTCTCGTCTGCACTCTCCGGAGTCTTTGAATCTCGAAAGATCCAGATTAGGTGAGCTTGCTATGGAGTAGTGTAGTCTTAATTGGTGTTTGGCATAATCTTTCTCTTGGTTTCTGAATGCTTTTGACATTCAAAACTAGGCTGTTTCATTTTATTCAGATGCTTCAGTACTCTCTTCTTTTGTTGATGCATTGTAGGCAGACTGCTCTTACCTGCCGTACGCTTCTGTGGCAATCAAATTCCAGTTAATGATACGGTTCGTCTATCCTAAAGTCTTACCTTGGTTGCTTACAATTGCCATTTTTGTTTGGCATTCGATTTGCATACTATATTTGCCCATGCTATCTTTTCAGACTGGAAATGTTACTGGAATTCTGGAACATTTGGATACCGTTCAGCCATATAGAGGTTTGTCTTTCCACTAATCGGTTCTTCTTTCTTGTTGCCTTTGCAACCGTTAAATTAGTTAGTTAGTAGTGCTCCTTGTAAACCAATCACAGGACGGCCTTCTTATTCTGGTTACAGGAACTAGATCCGAGCCTCCGAAGAGAAAACGAAAGACCAGGTAGTTAGCCTATATGCCAAATTCTGAACCTCTACCCGGGTCAATCTGTTGATGCTATTGCACAGAATTGTTGTGATTTCCGCCAAGTTTACCGTCAGATAAGAACAGTTAGTCGCATGTACCAATCTGTGAATCTGTAATGTGTACATCGCAGACAATCCTACTGCGTTTTGCTAGTCAGTTTGCTATAATATCAATGTACAATTGCAAACTCTAGGATGTGTTGTACTGTTATTGGTAACTACATCTAAAAAATTATCAGATGTTACGTGTTACCTTATTATGTTGAGATAAATAGATTTAACATCGAACTGGAAGAAAAAAAGAACATTTAAAAGACTGAAATGTGTTGGGAAATTTATTAGTCAATCCTCTTGTACCTCCCATTCCTTCACAAACTTGAAGCCCAGCGTTTGTATTCGAAAAGGTAGAAGATACGAAGGGGAGATATTGGGAAGTCGACAAAAATGCAGTCCCAAGAGCAGAGAAAGAAATAGAAAAAGACAACCACCTTTTGCCCAGAAGTCTCCATAAAGATGATGGAATGGTTGAAAAAAAATATTTGTCAAGATCAAGGTTGTCAACTAGCGGGTTGAGTTGTAGGTTGGCTTGCTTTGATTCTGACCCGGTGAGAAAAACATTTAGTACACACTCAGCTAGTCGATTTGCTTTGACCCTGATTTGGTGAGAAAAATGTGTCGTACACACCCGTCGGGTCTGATAATGAATCTACTTCATTAATTTAATTATTTGTGTTTAATGTAATTAGTTGAGTTAGTGGCTAGGTGGTTCCCCTTTTGTAGATATGTTTATGTTCAAGAGTTGGTATTTAAACCACTCTCCTAAAGAATACAAACTACCTCTTCCAATCACTTACATGGTATAAGACCAAGTGCCCCGATCTCCTTAACCTACACATCTTTCTCTGCGTTCCCAAACAACATCTCTCTCTCTCTCTCTCTATTTTTTCTTAACCTAGCCACTCCCGTCTACCTTTTCTCCTCCAACAATTTTAACCATGTCTTCCAATACTGGAGAATCCGTTCTCAATCTTGATGAACCAAACACCATAATCACATTAAACCCTGCCTCTCAACTCCCTACCAAGCTCAGGACAATTTCCCCACTTGGTGGGCACAACTCATGACACTTCTCTGCGGTCTAGATCTTCTCAAATTCTTAGACAACACTCATCCGCAGCCCACTGCCACCACTCCTGCTGCTGAATGCATCCGGTGGTTCCGACAAGATCAACTTCTCCTCCATGCTATTCTCACATCCATGTCATCGACTGTCTCTCCATATGTTTCTGCCGCACGCTCCTCTCATGAAGCCTGGTCGACTTTAGAGAGGATGTTTGCTAGCCAATCCCGACAGAGGGTCATCATTCTCAAAACAAAGCTCAGTCGTGAAACCATCACCCGGTCTCCGTTTATCTTCATGATCGCGTTGCCGATTTTGAAGCTGATCTTGTTGTTGTCCGCGTGCCTCACTTTGTGGCCTCTCCCACCACTGCATTCTCCTCTGCTCGTGGTCGGCCTCATTCCCCGATGCTTTATCACAACTCCGGCATCCCTCATCGTCCCGCCTCCCCTGCTTATTACGGCTACGACGCTCACTCTCGGCGCCCAGGCATTCGGCTAAGGACTGTTATCGTATGTGTGGTCGTCCGCATGCACATTACTCCACTGTCGCCTCCTCTTCTGCTAGTTGGCTCGTCGATTGGTTGCCACAAATCACATGACTCCTGACCTCGACAATCTCTCCTTGTATACAGACTACAACGACCCTGATGAGGTTCTTATTGGCAATGGGTCAAGGTCTGCATATCACTCATATTAGTCACTCCTCTCTGTCTACTTCTGTGACACCCTTATCTTTTCGTGATGTGATATGTGTTCCTGCTATCAAATGCCGGTTATTGTCTGTTGCTCAATTGTGTAAATCTAATATGATGTATGTGGAATTCTTTTCTGATTGTTTTGTTATGAAGGATCTAGTCACAGAAGTGCATCTGTTACGCGGTCGGATTAGGAGGATGTCTATGAGCTGCCGGTCACAACCCAACCTGTTCGACTTGCCTACTGTAAGAAGCAATCATCCAGTATATGGCACAATCAACTTGGCCATCCCTGTAACATCCTCGTCTCTTCTATAAATGTCAAAACCACCATTAGTTAATAATTATGTAGTTCATCATACTTGCCTCCATATTCCCCTTAAACGAAATGAGAAAGAAAGGGAGACAACGATGTTTCTGGTCCTCGTTGAAATATCAAGCTGAAGTAAGGTAAGCCTAGATTCTCGTGGTTCGATAATTTTTATTGCTTGCTTACTCTATGCTACACCCGGTCGTCAATTATGCTTGGGCGTCGATTGGGGGTGTTGTATTTATGAAATTTCTGGTTATGCTTCATGAAGCTTGTTGTCGTTTGTATGAAGTTTATGGTCTGCTTCAGTGAACCTGTATTCAACTTTGAGTTTTCTAGTATGCTTTATGCATTTTGTGTTGTGGTTAGGTTCTGGTATGTTTTAGAAGTATCTTGGTCTACTTTGTGTTATTTGTGGGGTGATTTGTTGTGTTTATGGTATGTATTTTTTTATATGTTTCTTGTTATAAGGACGGGATACAAAATAAATGAGTGCTACAAGCGTGTTCCCCCCTAAAATTTTGAAAAATGATAAGAGTGCCCCTCCCTTTAAAAACGTGTGTTAATTGTGGTCAACCCATTAAAAAATAAAAAATCATAAAACAAAAAATGTTCCTGTTGGCTGGAGTTAGTGTTGACACAATATTAGCAAATTGAATGTTAGCACTCTAACCTTGGCGGTAGACCATAGTACCCAACTTTATCTAACAGCAGAAAACTGTAATTAAAGCACTAAACTGTTGCACAAAGATAAGTTGGGTGACCATATTGTTTAATTACCCTCTACATTCTCCTCCGGCGTCGTTTCATACATTTGGCTGAACTTGAAGCTGCTCTGGCGCTCTCTACTCTCTAGTTTCTCCTCTCCACAGCCACTCAGCCTTCTCCCCCCAAAAAATATCCCATCGGTCGTTGGAGTTTCCGGAGCAAAGCTAAGAGCCGCGGCGGCCGCGACCTCATGAACCAGCGTCGGTGATGCAGGCTCAGCTCCTGGTGGGATCCCTCCCCACCGCCTCCTCTTTCTGCGACAGTATTCTTGTTCCTTTCTCCTCCCTCGTCGCCGGCTCACCATGGAGCCGCTGGTTCCACCGTCGCCGAACGCGGAACCGTTATCCACTGGCTGTGTCTTCGTCGCAGTCGTCGTCTTCGGGGGCGGAAGCGGCGATCAACGGTCACCAGAATTATTATTCCGTGCTCGGAATCGATCGTACCGCCTCCTCCGCAGACATAAAAAAAGCTTATCGCCTTCTTGCTCGCCAGGTGAATTTTTTTTTCTTGTCCTTTCGTTTCACGCTTTTCGGAATCTTGCTTTCACGATCAAGCGAACATTTCCCATAACTCCAAAATTTCCTCTGCTATGGTTATTGCGGCTAGTTAATTTGGAAATCGGATCCCGATTTTAGATGATGATAATGTAGTTGAAATTGGGGGAAAAATTGTTGGGGGAAAAATTGTTTGTGAGTGTTATCAATTGAAACCCAATGCAATAGTTGATAGGGTTTTCGGTTTTTTTTTATCGCTTTCCAACTGCCTCCTCGACGAGGATTACATTGTTGTCTGTTCTGTGATTCCGAGTTTGTGCTTTCTTGGGAAGATAGTTTCAGCAGCTCTTAATGTTCCGTCTATGAGTTCGACAATTGTTTGAGAATTATAAAGTTTAGCTTCCTCAGTTGGATCAAGTATTCGGCTTATAAATGGCAGATTTTAACATTTCCTACTTAGTTTGTGTAGTGTGTAATGAACGCTGATGGGGGCTTGAGAATCTCCTGATTGTTTGCTCTTTAATGTGTTTCAAATACAGTACCATCCTGATGTTAGCAAGCATTCACAGGCTGGTGAGATGTTCAAAAGCATTCGCCGAGCATATGAAGTGAGCATTCCCTATATATAACTCGATCTATTGGATTATCAAACATCTTAACGCTCTTCATGGAGAATGCAGCTATTCAATTAGGATGTTCCATTTTTCTAAAGTTGCATCTTTTGGTGTATTCAGACCCTGTCAAATGAAGTGACAAGAACACAGTACGATCGAGTATTAAGATTCAATGACGATACAGCATACAGAGGAAACAAGTATTACAGCCCTCAATTTGAAGATCGGGAAAGAATCTACAGGTGGGCTGAACTGAAACGGAGGATGGAACAAGAAAGATACTGGGAGCAATACAATGAAGAAGACGACTCTTCCTCTGAAGATGAGATGGCTGAAGAAGTGAATCAAGAAAGAGGACCTTTTGCTGAAGTACTTAGGTCTGCGTTTTTGTCTCTATTTTTGCTCCAGACGTTAGGACCTCGAGTCTCTGTTACGTTCAGCAGCCTGATGGCTCTATTCGATCCAAAGTTGGATGCTGGATACAAAATCGGTCATTTGGTTGCATGGATTCTTGGTGGAAGAAACGGGGTTCTGCTTGCTTTGTGCATCCAGTTTGCAAGTTGGGTATGTGGGAAGACTAGCAGCAGTATGGTTACTGTGACTGTGGTAGCCATGTGGGTTGCCTCAAATCTTGCTCGCCATGCCCCTCTCCCAACGGGTGCCGTCCTTACACTTCTGTACATGTCCATCAAGCTGCAAGTGGACTTAACCTGAAGGCTGATATAAAGCATGCTTTCCCTGAATGTTGTACATATGGGATTCTGGATGTAGTGCAGTATATGATTGATTCATGCCCATTGAGCCGTGGCTGATATAACAATGCTTCGCTTATCTTTCCCAGAATATTGTATATATGAATTACTGGATGTAATGAATGCAGTGTAATCGATTCATGTTTCAGATTTATGACTTGAAGTCTGCCAGACAAAGATTGTTACATACATATCCTGAGTTCTTGATATACAGTTTATTTGTTGGAACGTGATTTGATACCCATTTCTTGTATTGTCAAATATCTCAGAAAGTAGTTATATTTGTGACTGAGAGTTTGAGATTGCTGAAGAATAGTAAAGTCATTAATCAGTAGACATTGTAGATTGTGGCAAAATGCAGCCTCTCCATTAATTCAAATCTTTCCATAACCAGACAGCAAGAATAGAATCAACAAATTACAAAGATTGCTTCTTTTTTCTCTCTCGTTTCTTATGCAGGTTAGCTACAATGGGCAAACCAAAGACAACAAAAAGAGAAGAAAAGAACAGCTTCAGGGACAAGTTTGATGAACGATGATCATTTTCTCCTTGTGGCGAAAACAAGGCTGGGTAAGCTCTCAAGTCTCAATCAGCTCTCTCATTGTGTCTTCATTTCCTTGAAGTTTCTCCACAGGTATCTTCCGCTGGCCATGTCCACGAATACCCAGAAACCATTCTGAATCATCTGGACATAAAAAGGGCAACAATAAGAAAAAAAGGGGATTTCTTCCTGAAAATCGCAGGGGAAGGTAAAAATCATAACAAATCAATTTACCTTGATCATATTGGTTTCCTGCTTCTTAGCATCAACCGTTGAATCGTTGGAGACGTCAGGCTCAGCGAAGGCATCGGGAGACGCGTTGACGGTCCTCCAGGCGAAATAGCCGGCGAGAACCGCCGAGAAGAAGACCAAGATGAAACGGAGCGGACACATGATGATGAAAGCTCTCTCTCCTTCTCCCCTCCCTCCCTCTGGTCAAGAAGCAACAAGAAGAAGGATTTAATGGATGTGGGTTGTCTGGTTTTAAATCAAAGTTTCGATCTTTTGCGGGAGATTCTGGTGGTTGGCGATTGTGGAAGGAGAGAGGACAAAAAGCTGTCTACCCGGAGAGAAAAATGGGGGGTTTAGCTGGCTGGCTGGCTGCTCTCTCTGGTCTGTTGATCCTGTTTTTTAAAAAGGGGGGGTTTGGGTGTTGCGGGGTTGTTTACTTGTTCAAAAGAAAACTGGAAAAGGACGCGGTTTAGGGGGTTTGGCGCGAGTAAAAGGAAGAAGTTTCTTATGAGGGTGGTTGTGCTCTGGTTCTGGAATGGCGTCTAATGTAATGTCAACGAAGTGGTGGGTTCCTTCCTTTTATAATCTACTCGATATTTGCCATTTCCTTTTTGGTTTTGGTTATGGGGTTTCTATCGAACCTTAACCTGCTCCACGTTGTAATGGTCAAATGCTTTTCATTTTTGTGTTTGGATTCTAGGGATAGGAAATCCGAAATAGTCAATGAATTTAGGTCGGAACTGCCATCGTTAAGGTGCATTATTATTGTTTTCCAACCTTCACGATAATGTTTACCGGCTGATTGCTTAATCATTACTTGGTCAATGGTTAGGTTTCCTCAATTTCTTCCTTCAGGTTTTGGTCCCTTAACCTACGGAGAATAAGTTTGAAACCAAGTTACCTCTCATAGGGACCTTTTTCATTTGTTATTTGGAAGGATTTTCGCCTCAATTGTATTTGCCTGGCCTATAATTTTTTCATATTTAACATTATGGTCAATTTTTTCGATATATAACATTGTGGGCTAAACTATCTCTAAACTTTATTGAATTGGTCAACAAACCCGAGAGTTGACCGTTACGTTTGACGGTCAAGACCGTTGGCTTACGGTCAACCCGCCACATCACCGCCACTAGGGCTGGGAATCCAGACCAAACCGTATGGGAAACCGCGGTCTAGACCGTATCGTATGGTTTGGTCTGGACCGTGAGACCAGAACTATGGTCTGGTGTGGTTTGCGGTCTCCTCCTTTAGTGCGTGGTCTGAAGTGGTCTGGACCGCGGTCTACCGCAGTAAACCGTAACAGACCGCGACACACTACCTACTACCATGGACAAAAATAACAATAAATTGAACCTCCATATGTGTATTTGAAGAACAAAATTAGTTGATTCTTCATCTAGTTGAGAGCCAACAAATTGCAATATGATCGCTTATATGTTATCTCCTTATAAAAGTACCACACAAAATTCAGAAAGACTCATAAATAATATTCACAGATAATGTCTAGACTATGGAGTCGATAAAAATTGAACACTACAAAAAAAAAAAAAAAAAATTCGTTCACCTTGATGAGATAATGAAAATTATTGAGAGATATGTGACCATCTTAGTGGTTCGAAATTACCTTGACGTCATCAAAAAGGTTATCAACTGGGAGAACCTTCGGATCACTCGAGAGAGGAGAGAAGCGGTAGCACAAAGAGGAATAGGGAAATAAGGCTATTTGAAAATTGAAAAAACCCACTTCTATCCTCATATTTCTTCTCATTTAATACGATCACAATTTTTTTTTTTGTTTCACTAGCATATTGGTCACTAGATTTTTTTTATAGATACCGGCGAAGGGTTGGAGGGCGAACAAAAGTTAATTTTTTTTAACATGGTCTGTTCGGTCCAGACCGTACCGTACCGTACCGCACCGCATATGTGTGGTCTGGTCTGGACCGTATAGTATATGGTCTGGTCCATGGTCTGTGTTCCAACCTCTCGGTCTGGACCACAGACCGTATCTATGGTCTGGTCTGGACCGGACCGCACTGTTTCCCACCCCTAAGACTAACTTCAACCCATAAAGTTAAATTTGGCTCCCCAAATAGTCAAATATGGCTTTTTAGCTCCCCAAACCTCATTTTCACTCCAACCCTACACAATGCTAAATTTAGCTTCCTATCTCCCTTTTTTCAATTTATTACAATAAAGCATACTTATTTGACCTCTAATTTTCATATTTCACTTTAATTTTCTATATTTAGTTATTACTTTTGAAAACAAAATTTTCGATGTAATATTTTTTAATTTGGAGACAAAAAAAGTTTCAGAAAATTAGTCATTATTTTGTTACCGTTAACTTCGGGACCAATGAAAAAATATCAATTAAACATATAACATTTCATATCTTCTTTCAAACAATTAAAAAAACAACATACACAATCAACCAATGACAAAATACCACACAAAAAAAGCAAAAAGAAAAACAACACAATCAACCAATGAGAAAATCCCACAAAAAGTAAAAGAGGACCCACCGCGGGTCCACCATTTCCTCTAGCCAAATTTGGATTTTCCACCTTTTTGGAAGCTAAATTTGGCTCCCAATTCACCAATACCCATTTTTAGCTTCTCAAAATAATGTGGGTTGGAGCACAAAAAAAGAGCTAAAAATGGGTAAATGGCTTTTTAGCTCTAGGGTTGGAGTTAGTCTAACCGCCACATCAGTGGGGTGTCTTTGACCTTTTGCAGGTTCGGTAACCAAGTGTGTGCTCAGGACCCTTTGTAGATCATTTGATCAAGCGGGAGATTTGTGACTCACCACACGTCTCGAACCCTCGGAATCCTCCTTTGATTTTAAATCAGGATCGAGAGTTAGATGCTTAGATCCAAGGTCCATCGGAAGTTGATGATTTTTGTTGGATGCACCAAATTAAACATGTCACATTAAGAAAAAGAAACCAATCTAACAACCACCAATCCAAATTATTGAGAGTAATGAATTGCATAATTGCATTTTACAATAACTACTACCGCGAAGGGAAAAACAAAAAACCCCCAAAACTAATGCTACCTCTCGTTTGTGGCGAGTGCGCGATACATGGAGTAAACTATTCACCTAACAATTGAATTTAAGGGTTTCTCCTCGTCATTTTCAATGGAGCAGGCCCCGCCTAGACCCAGTTGTTCAAAACGAAGACTACTTGTGCTACCAACCAAACCGCTTAGCTTCAACGTTCTGACCTTTCAGGCAAACGACAGAGGATGCAGCCATCATCGTGCAACCTGGATTTGTGTGGACTTATTCCGCAGTTACTGAAAATTCTAATTTCTATTGCTATCCTTGTTATCTTTCACCGGACGATAATACTAAGTTAAGTTCCAAAGTCCAAGCTATGTATGCTGAACTGTAAGTATTGACAATATCTTGTATTACTTCAAATAAAAAAATCCATTAATTTCTACAAAAAAAAATTCCAATAATTTAGACCTAGTATCAATACAAAAATAATAACATACCATATGTAGATCTTAAAAAATCAGATATGATGGTTGTATTAAAAGAATGAGAGATTTTATCATCTACATCATAAAAGGGGCACAAGCGTAAATTGTAAGGTTGGTCACTGTGTTTATTAAAAAGGTTCATGTTTGGTCACTAAAAATATTTAATTTCATTCGTGGTCACTAAGATGAGTTAAATGTTTCAAATTTGGTCACTCTCCGTCCAAATCCGTTAGTTTTGTCTGATGTGGCAGTTAACTCTCAAAGTTGACAGTTAACCAAGTGACGTGACAAATAAAAAATAATAAATAAAATAATTTATTATTTTTTTTGAAGCGGACCCTTTCTTCTCCATCGTTCGATCTGTGGGAAAGTTAGTTTTGGCCGAGTGGGCTTCTCGATTTGGCGAAGGAGACTTCGAGAAACCCAGAAATCAATCGGCGAGATGAAAGTGAGAGTGGAGGCGGGCAGATTTCAATTTGAAAATTATAATAATATTTTTCTGTTTTATTTATCTTACTTTATTGTGAAATGAGTTGGAAATGGTAAAAGATTAAATTTTATTTATTATTTTCTAATTGCCACGTCACTTAGTTAACGGTCAACTTTGAGAATTGACTGCTACATCACACAAAACTAACGTAGTTGGACGGTGAGTGACCAAATTTGAAACATTTAACTAATTTTAGTGACCATGAATGAAATTAAATATTTTTAGTGACTAAACATGAACTTTTTAGTAAACAGAACCAACCTTACAATTAACCCTAAAAGATAAAAAGCAAAAATATGACTTTTGGGGACAAATGATATATATATATATATATATATATATATATATATATATAGTGCCTTCTACGGTACCCCGGGTGAAATCCGGGGTACCGCATACCTTGACTATGGAAACGGTATCTAGACCTCGAATTAGCAGGATTTTTGGGTTTGATACTATACCCTAACCCTTAATGAGTGAACCCTAGGTCCTAATTATCTAAATCATAATCTATAAACCCTAAGATGATGCTTTCCTCTTTGTGCCTATATTTGGACGAATCATAACCGTCGATTATTGTTTCTAATCAAATTGATCTTGGATTACAAGATTGGGAGAATTATGACCTAGATTTTGATCTTTAAGGGTTAGAGTATAGTATCATGTCCGAAAGATCGGTCAATTCAAGGTCTAGATAGTGTTTTCATACTCAAGGTAAGCGGTACCCCGAATTTTACCCAGGGTACCGTAGAACTCGCCACATATATATATATATATATATATATATATATATATATATTGGGACTGTTGCAGATTTTCAGGCGTGCAGTCAAAACATTTTTTAAATCTCCAAAGAAACTTCAGACAATCATATCTAACTCGTTTTACATCAAATTAAAAAAAACCATAGAAAAAGAAATCTGTTATGCCTTACAAGATAATATTCATTTATATATTTTTTGAGAATTTTTTTCCCGTCATCATATCATTATATTATCATTATGGTAATACCCATCGATGGATCTAGGGTTGGGCCAACCCGGGCCCCGGCCCAGCCCTCTTTCGGATCTAGAGTTAGTACAGTGCTTATAAATTTCTCGAAGTTGGGTATTCGGCTCAGTGATATTTAGAAGTCGGTCGAGTGTTATTCTATAATAGGATTTTGTGTAAGTAGGAAAATGGTCTAGATAAAATATCCAAACCACTACTCTAAATTTAGCTTAGAAAATTCTAGCCCGAATAGTTTTATTTTAGAAAAAATATCTAAAATTCTGAAACGTAAAAGACTAAGTATAAAGTTTCATTGAAATAAAAAATATAAATACTAATTATTAGCCAAACCATTCTTGCATTTTAAATATTAGCCAAGCCATTCGAAATACAAAATATTAGCCAAATTTTTTGTAACGCATCAAAATATTAGCTATTTTTCTGTTATCGTTCATAATTTGTTAACTATTTTCTTATTTAAAATATTAAAGTTTTCGAATGTTTGCCTTCATGTGTCTCTTTCAAGTCAGTTTAATGTTGTCAAGTCAATAATACTAACAAAACTGCTAACTGGAA